CCCCAAAACCCCAAAACCCCAAAACCCCTGAATTGACACTTTGAATAAATGAAAAATAACAACTATGAGTACCTGCAAATTTGAAATATAAATTAAAGTTTATTTAAAATAATCTTCATAAATGGGATTAGAGGAACTCCTTTACGGGTCCAAGATTATCAGAGACTATCTTAAGCTGTTCTCGGAGCAATAATGGAACAGAGTGTCCAAGGCTACGATCATGCTAGGAATTGAATACCTCAATAAAGTCACTCATAATGACCTAAGATAACTATCAATTTAAAAGATTGAAGACATTGTTGGTAATAATCAAATAAGATTTACATTTTTTATATAGTTGACCTGTCTATTTAAGAAGGTTTACCAGGTGGAAAAGATAAGAAAAGCAAGAAGGATAAAAAAGATAAGAAGAGAAAGGATAAAGATGATAAGCATAAATTAAAAAGTAAGCATTTACAGAACACTCAGAAAAGTCTTGCTGACAGTTCGATCAACGTTGGAACCTTGAATCAATCCTCAAGCGCTTCCCTGCCTCTTGAAAGTAGTCTTTACATGTCTGAACATCAAAGAAATGCACCCAAATTTAAAAAGGAAAAACCGCAGGATATTGCATAATCTCAAAATCAAAGCAGTAACTAGCTCAGTTTATATTAAACTTTTAGATAAACCAATCGCATCGAAACCACCTTCAACTTGGAGAAATGGATCAACTTAGAGGCCTGAAGGACAATAAAGAGGAAGGCAATAATAGAGTTAAACTTAGGAAATAGATATATTTCATGCTAAGCCAAGAGCGGCTTCATTGAATCCTCTGATTTATCCCTCTTGGTGGGGATAAGACGACGACTTTGATTAGGAAATAAGAAGGGATAGATCAAATGACGCTGTTAAAAGAAATGCAAGATAGTAGAAAGTAGAGAATAAGAGGGAAAATCCAAGGCAACAACAAGAAGATACTCTGGAGAGGAAATTGAGAGAAGCACAGGAAAATAAGAAGAAACTGTAGAGCAGTAACTAGAATAAGACTAGAAATAACAAGATATAGTAGAGTTCTAATTTAGATCTGAGCTACAGAAGAAATGATAACGCTCCTAATTATGCTTACACAAGCAATAAAAATGTACCTAAATATAGTCCAATAAGAAATCCAGTGCCAGGTGCAAATAATATCCCAATGAGTTATGCTGGTCCTCCAACTTAAGCTGAAATTAATAGAAATCTCGGGAGAAATCACCATACAAATGCATATGATACCAATTATAGAAACTAACCAAAGGGATCATTCTAAAATAAAAATACTGGGGGATCTTTCAAAAATGAAAATACTGGGGGAATGTCTAGAGGAGGCGGTGGTGGTATTATTCTAAGCTATAGTCCTCCAAGAGAAAGATAAGAGAGAAATAATGGAGTACTCTAAAATAAGCAAAATCATGCTGCCAAACAAAAGTAAAAAGCCAAATAGCCTACTCATATTCCTATCCCTGCAAGAACGTTAAGACCTCAAACTTATGAATATGATAATCCACAATAGTTGAGACACAGCAACTCCAACAATGCAAGTAAATCTAAGCTCCAATACGATCACATTCCATCTAAAGTGAAAGACTAAATAGAGTATCACAAGAGAAAGTTCAAGTAGCAATAACAATAATAGGAGAATAACAGAGAGCATAGTAAGGATAAAATTGATACTAAAGTTTATGTCAAAGGTTCGAGACCATAATATTTTGATCATCCAAGAGCTATGCATGAAGATTCTTAAGGTGCAGCTTTAAGACGAAGAAATTCCCCATTAAAAGAACTAGCTGACAATGAATACAGACAGAGTAAGCAACACCCACCTACTTAAGGTACCTAAGATTCATGGCCTCTTAGATAATAAAGAAGTTCACACCATTAAAATCAATAATTAGGAAGGCATGATAATTATATTCCTCATACATAACAGCAATAACCTTCCAAGAAATAAAATAAGCCTCCTTCTGATTAAACTGATTAATTCTCAATGAGAAATACTTAAGGGTAATGGCCATCAAGCATTGAAAATTTGAATATGTCAAATAATAGAAGCACTGGTCAGGGTTTTTATGGTGGACCAAATTAGAATCCAAATAGATTTGGCAGAAATCAGCAGTTGGAATACACTAATAGCGGAGTAGAAAAGAATGAGATAACCCAAGGTATGATTAGTAGTCCTATTAAGAGCCATTATACTGAATCATCCCCAGAGAGATAAACAATTGGTTTTGGAAATACTGGAATCTAAAATGGCGTTACTGAGCCATCTATGATTGGTGGACCTTAGAATCTTACCAGATATGGAGGTTATCCACCAAATGGCAATGAGAGTGGTGATCACCTTATTTTTAGATCTGATGGTTTTGAGTAATCTAGATATGGCAACAATCCGAGTGGAATAAATCCAGCTGACTAAAGTAGATACTCTAGACATCCATTTGTATAGTAGCAAAATAATCCTAATCAGCAAACTCCATATCATTACAATCCAAATAAGACTCAAGGTGATGTCAATTCCTCAACATTTAGTGGTGGAGGAGGTTTCACTAATAGAATGCAAGATCAATCAACCTATTACCACAATAGAAATAACAATACTTAAAATCCATTTGCAAAGAACTAACAGCCCAATCAAAGCTTCCTCTCTAACTATCCAAGATAATAGAATGAACTACCTTATAAAAGACAAGAGTAGTCTGAGATACATGATAATCCAAATCATCAAGCAAGATAAAATGAATGGGTAGGGAATTACTAAATGAGTGATCAGCTAAAGAAAGAGAGAGATTTAAAGTAACTTGCTGAGTCAAACTCTTACACCTACACTCTTTAAAACCCAATAAGTAATTAACCAAGTGACAGAGCTCCAAGAAATCAAGATAACCCAAGCAAGAGAGGCAAAAATATGATACATAGTATAGATGAGGATGCTGATCAGGAGTCAGAGATTAGCAATTACTCACAGGCTGAAGAGTTCAAGAATATCAAAAATCAGCCATATATCCCAGATCAGCAATCAGAGAGATTTATAAATCCACCAGTTTAAGACTACTAGTATCAAAATAGAAATGTAGAGCCCTATGTGCCATAAAGATAAGGATAAATAAGTCAATATAATAACCCAAATGTCTAAATGCTTCAAAGTGAAGACATCAGTGGTAGATATAATAACAGACAAGGGAGATAAATCTAGCCTCCTCCATACTAAAACCAATTTGATGGCCGATAAAATCATTAAGTTGATGATATAACTGATTCAGATTATTCAGATAATCAAGATGAAGAAAAGGATGATAGTGAGGATTTCTCAGATGATGACGATGAGGAAAAATCTTCATACAAGGACGGCAGCTAAACTTCCAATGATGATTAATATAGTTAGTCCTCTTATCAAGAATCAAGATCTAGACTATAAACTCAAACTGCTGCATCTAATTTTTACTAAGGAAAGGGAAGAGACGATACAAGATAATTTGGAGGATACTAAGATAACTCCAGAAGATAAGATCATCCTTCAGCCACTTAGTAATACAGCAATAACTAGAATTACATGCAGAACAGAACTCACCACTACTGATATATAAAGATTTTAATTCGACTTAACTTTACTTAACTAAAAGGAATAATTTGTTTTTATTTTTATCATTTGAGCTTAAACATTTCCCATCCCTTGGGGTTTTGGGGTTTTGGGGTTTTGGGG